GGGTGCAGATGAATATGTTCTCATTGGGATGACCCAAACTCACACCCATGTAGGGCTTGCATTGGTTTAAAATTAGAGGAAAAGCTATTTTAAGTGTTTCTGTGACAGAGCTGTTTGGTTTATTTCTGCAGAGTTTGAATTGCTGGTCGTGGAGACATCAGTGGTTGCTGGTGACTGGCATTAAATGCTACCCTCAGGAAATGTCTTTTATTTTTTCTTCAAAGTGTAAGGAAGATGCGTAAGAAATAATAATTACAGAGGTCCAAAAGTGCATATTTTTCCCCAGTATTAAGCCATGGGGGAACAATGGCTTCATACTCTGCACAAAAAATCAGCACTCAGATGGGTAGGAAACTTTGCTATTATCTCATCTGGCGCCAATCTTGCCTAGTTTTAAAGGCTTGTTCAACAAACAATACAACTAAGTTCTTTTATTGTCTCATTAGCTCTATCTTAAAATAATCCAGGGCTGTATGAGCTTGCCGGATTTAATTGTGCAGCAGCCACACATCCCCTTACAGAAACTTAGGAATTTCTGAGGCAGGGTTTCAAATTCAGACCATCACACCGACTTTTAAAAAAGGACTTGGATTCTGGTAGACTTGTAGGAATTTTGAGATAAGGAAATACAAAGTCCTGGGCCTCCCTGCACTAGATTTCCTTGTTCATTGAAATCAATAGTAAGAGTTACAATCTGCAGACTAAATATATTTTGGTGTTATAAACTTAATGGCCATCTAATTTTGCTAAGTAAGTTCCAAAACTGCAAAAATAAAGGAATAATTCATACAACTGTCAAATGCCTCATAAAATGAGTAGCAGGGAAGCTGCAAGGAAGGCAGACCAGTATTACCCAGCACAAAATAAAAGTTTGGATACTGAATCTTTTGAGGCTTGAGGAAAGGAGTTCCCAGACTCTTCCATAATCCTTCCTCACTCCCTGTCACTCTTCTGAAATTCTGCAAAAGAAAGAAAATATTATGGTAGTAATCATGCATTTCCTTATCTTCCATAGGAGATACAATTTTACCTGGTCTTTCAGTGAAAAAAATATTTTAAATAAAATAAATTTTATTATTATTCTTAATAAATTATTTTTAATAATTAAATTATTTTAATCGTTTAACTTCAAGACACTGTAATTGTGGTGGTTGGTCTTGTTAACAGTGATAGGTTTGAATTGAAAGCTCTATAAAATTTCTCTGTACATTGAATTGAAGGTTCAATAGCGTTAATGCAATACATCTGCAGAGATTAAAAGCAACTTTTGTTATACACAGGTGCCACAATATAATCTTTCAGAAGCGTGTGAGTTTTTGCAAAACCCCTTCTTTCCTCAGCCATTTCACTAATTATGACCATGCTGAATAAGCTTATGGCTTTTCTAGAGTTCATGTGGAAGTTAATTTTTGTGACTTGCTCTGGTTTGGCTACCTGTATTTTTATTTCCCAGCGGTTTAGTTCAGGAAATTGACTTACTGTGAGAGGAGGATAAGGGAAATAAAATTCTTTTCCTCATAATGGATGAATCTGAAACTAAACAGAAATGAGGCCTTTCAAGAGATGTAGCTTTAGAAGTTTAGGTACTGGATAACTTTGGTTCTCTGAATGTGCCAGCGGTTGACAAGAAACAGGCAATTTTGGAGCAAGTGTGATTTTAAATGTCTACTTTGCACTGGTTTCTTGTTTTCCTTTTGTTCCCTTGAGTTCCTCTTGTTTTTCTTTCCCAGTTCTGCAGTTTTCCTGGGTTTTTGCTGTCTCCAGAAGCGTCCGTGGCCGAGGGACCCAGCAGTGATCTGTGCCCAGGCCGGCCTCTGTCCCCGTGCCATCCCTGCACTCTGCCCCAGTGCCGGTGCAGCCGTGGGGCTTCACCCCACACCAAACACCTCCTGGCAGTGTGGAGGAAAAGGAAAGAAAAGGAGAGAGGGAGAGGATAGGGTGCTTGGAAATTCTAATTTTATCTAAAGGACATTTTCTGACAACATAGATGTTCGCTACAATAAATTGTGCTTTCCCACATGCTATGGCTTTCTAGCTCTGATATTAACTGAACCCAGTGAGCTTTAAAAGAGGTAGAAAAAATCAGTAAAAGTTTTCTTTCAAGACCGAATATCTGCCAGAGACTGAGTGCTATGGTTAATGGCTTTTGAAGCTTCACAGGAATTGTCAGAGCATTATAGTAATTAAACAGGGCTCTCAGAATCCAGCATAAGTTGTACTGATGAGGAGATTAAATAGAGATTCCCATTGCACTGTGTGTTTTATAGAGGCTTAGTGACAGTATTTCATGCACACACAGTAACGTATTTGCTGCAGCAGCCACCTTTCTTCCAAGTAAAGTGTTCAAAGGCTTTGTTCCCCATTTTCTGTTGAAAACTGTTTCATATCAAAAAAGGATTAGTCCCATATGTAGTCTTTTCTTCTTGTCAAGGAACGAGTTCAAATCTCCAGGCAAATAGAAAAGGCTACAAGATTTCAGAAGCATGTCAGTGTTAATAACATGACTTGAATTCCGTTTTGACTTCTGAAGAATGAAAAATCCAGCTGAGAATGACACAGCCTCACCTTTCCTTAGTGATATGTGAAAGGCCAGAACAAGGAAAGAGAATCTGATTTACTGTGCTGGTGCTTGCTGAAATCAACATGTACTGAGAAATTATTGTTGTTATTGAAAGAACAGTTTAAATTACAGGAGGAACTCTAGCCCTGGTGAGCTCTTAGCCCTCTGTGATACATCTCACCTCAATGCAGACTTTGGGTTGTTTGTTGTTTTCTGTTATGGATATCATGGTAATTCGTGCTGATAGAATATGATTGTTCAAATAATATAATATAAAGCTCTAAAATCACACCAGCAAGGGAGAAGGGGATTGCTTCAGAGGGTGATGAAAACTGCAGCTGGCAGCCGAGGAGGAGGTGTGTCATTAACACACCAAGTAAACCTAGCCTGCACAAGAGATGGGCGTTCTTGCTGGCACTAACGAGAGAATGCCCAGCGATGATGGCCCGTGAAGATGTTCATCTCAGATAGACAGGACCATCAAGGACATACATCTGAATGTGGGATTCTGGGAACCGAGGAGCAGATACACATCAGTTCCCAGACGAGGCTTTGTCCAGTGCAGGACAGAGAATAGACACTGCATGAATATGAAGAACTCCAAGGAAGGACAAAGGGACTCCACCGTGGTCAAGAAAAAGAGCATAAAACTTGGACTCTGCCAAGCAGCATTTGTGAACAGAGGGGAATTCCATGCGATAGAGGCTGGATCTGAGTTCACCCAGCTTCAATCCCGGGGTCAGTGCTGCCCTTGATTGTTGGCTGTATATCAGTCACAAAAAAATTTTATCTTTTTATTTTTATTAAAATTGGCTGGATCAGTTTTTATCTACAACATTTTCTTTTTCTTTGTCCAAAACACCGAGAGATCAAAATTATGGTAAAAACAGGACTTCTACTTTGAGTCAAAGCCAAAGAGAAGCTCTGCAGGGCTTCTTCCTAGATACAGATAAAATACTCTGGTGGTCTTATCACACCCTGTTCTCGAACTTTTGGCACTAGATTCTGCTCTGGAACACCATGACTTCCTTGTAATCTGAAAGAGGGAACAAATCAAACCTCGAGATGGTCCTACATTTAAAACCAGTGTTCCTCCAGTGAACCTTCTTTTCCTGCAAACTTCTTTTCCATGCTCTGCAATCCTCACTGTTTATTATAATAAACTTCTTCTCTTTTGATTAGGTTTATGTGAGTTTCATATGTTTTTATGAGCTTTTATGCCTTTTTATCTCTATGTATTTAATAACACTATCTGCTTATTGCAACATTCCAGGAATCCCTTTTGACTCTTCCCTCCATAGTCCTGCAGAAGGTCAGGTCACTCTGGGTTTTACACCAATAAAATTCCAGGTTGTTCAGATCCTTGCCATAATGGGCAGGCACAATTTCCCTGCTGACACAGAGATTGAAGACAAAGCCCTCTATTGGCACTGAAAACAAAAGAAAGGAGGAAGTTTCTGCCCATTGGAAAGTCCCTGTTTCCCCTGAAGGACTCTGCCTCTTTTTTCTCAGCAGCAGCTCAGCAGCCGGACAAGAGAGGGAGGGGTGGTTGATTTGTGTGACAATTTAACACCACTTGCAAACAAGAGCTGAGTCTGTCACTAGCATCTCTGCAGAGGCAAGTCCTTGCTGAGGATGAAGAGCCGTGTCACTTGTGTTTAGTTTGCACGGAGGGTTTTCATCCTGCAGGTGTGGCCCCTGTGACAGCAGACTGTTCATCCTTCAGGGGGATTTGTACCCACAGGGACAGTGCTGCTCTTGCCAGCACACCACAGTTTGTCCCCATGCCAAAAAGTCCAGGCAGAAATTACTTCTTAAAGTAACATTTAATCTGTATTTCATGGAAGGTGTTCAGTTTTTAACAAAATACTTTTGCAGAAGACGTGCCTAGGCAGTGGTGATTCAGAGCATTTGAACTCACAGAGTATCCCCACATCTGCTTTGCCATATTTTCTCTCTTTTTCATTGTGAATGATTTCTCCTGCCAGGGTGGCTCCTGCTTGGAGTTCTGCTCCCAGTGGAGTCCCGGAGTTTTCTCAGCAGGCCTTGGCAGTCAGTGCTGAGCCAACGTGTGGCTCTGCTGCCATCCCAAATCTGCGCTTCCCGTGCCCAGCCTGAGTGCAGGTGGGGCATGTGCTGGCCATGGCCGGAGATTTCCATGGCCCAAATCCTGCAGCATTTCCATCTGCTCATGGCTTGGGGTAGCACAAATCACAAAACCCCCATCGCAGCTGACAAATGGCATTTCTTGCAGATTGCTACAGCTGCACTGCTGATGGACAAATACATGAGGATCAATTTCAGTTAAAAAAGACATTTATTACTAATTGATACACCCATACTGACAATACAGAACTATAGAAACCTCAATTTAGTTTAAAAACAGGAATTTTTTATATCATTACAACCACTCTCTGTAAAAATACACAAATACCAACTTCCGTTAACAAAATTTAATTTATTGCCAACCTTTAAAACAACTCACTATACACAAAGATCAATTAGGAGTTGAACAACTTAATTTATTACATATTACTAGAAAGGTATAGCCCGTATAGAAATACAAAAATATGAATTCTCTAAGTAGCCCTGTATCAAGTACTCATAGAATTATACATAGAACCGATAGAATTATACAAATATACCACTCCATAAGTATTGAAATAAAATGAAATACATCTATATATACATAAATACATATAAATAAATATATAAAAATCTACAGATGTAAATAGAGATTTAAAATAGCATATACATATAAAATTATATTTTTGTATGTATAGATTGTTTGTTATGTATCATTATGCCAAGCTAAATAACCATACAAATGCATCAATACAAATATACAGGTATACATCTGGACACTTATGTAAATATAATTACATATAGAAATGGGTCAATATACATATAAAAATAGACATATATACCTATGTAAATATCAATATAACTATTTAAAGAGCCATATGCCTATAACTGCATCAATATAAATAGATACCCACACAGCAAAAAACCTAGGAAATAAAACTAAACACAGATATAACAACATCCATGTATACTTAGATATGTATATAGACATAGATGTAATTACAAACACATGTATATATATGAATACATATATACATAATACATCCATAAATATAACAACATACATCTAGAAATATTCCTGTACAAATAGCAGCCTACATATGTAAATATCCATGTAATTATCACTGCCTTTGTGCAATCTTTAAAGAGAACTTCAAGAAGAGGGATCCCAACTGCCCCATCTTCAAAGCCTCTCCCTCGGCCTCTTCCTCCCGGGCAGAGCAGCTCCCCTGGACAGGGACAGCAGATGGGACATCTGGGAAGCAAAGGGAACACTGAGTCAGTATGGGGACATTTCCTTTGGCAGCAGTTGCACTTCCATCAGGGAAGAGGAAATGTCAGAGCCTCCCCAGGAGGGTCAGAAAGAGAAAGCAGCCGAGCGGGCCGGGCTGTGGTGAGCGCAGCCGCGGTGGGACCGTCCCGCAGCCCCGGCAGCCCGGCAGAGCCGGCACAGCTCCCGGGCCCTGCCGGCACAGCTGCCTTGCCCAAGGACAGCCCCTCTGCCAGCCGGGGCAGCTGCGCTGAGCAGCCCCAGCACGGGCAGGGCCCATGGCCACAGCCCACGCCAGCCTCAGCCCCACCCTGCCTCCCCGGCCCTGGGGCCTCACCCGGGCTCTCTCCAGGCTGGCAGCAGCAGGGCCTTGCTCCCTGCTCCTGCTCCCGGCCCTCGGCTTCTCCCTGCTGGCTCCCGGCAGTCTCCGGCGGTCCTCGAGGTCTTCATTGCAGCTGTGGCAAAAGTGGAGGCTCTGGAATTGGTTCCAAGGCCTGGCAGAGCTGCAGTCCCCGAGCCCTCTGTGCTCCCTGCTGGCCCCTCCATCCCCTCAGCCCCGCCATGCTCTCGCCAAACCCCCAGCCCCCTTCAGCTTCTCCAGCCCCTCACAGTCCTCTCACCTCCCTCAGTCCCTTCTGACCCATCCCGTCCCCTTAGACCCGCCACCCCCTCAGCCTGTGCCACTTGCCTGTCACCTCAGTGCCACCATGGCCCTGGGCTGCCCCACAGCCCTCAGCCCCAGCAGCAGCTCAGGGTCACCATCCATTCAGCGCCACCGCCCCCTCAGCCCCCTCAGCCCCCTCAGTCTCACCGTCCTTCAGCAGCTCCTCAGGGGACAGTGCCTGGGGCCACCGGCAGCTCCCAGCGCTCCAGGGACATCCGGGGCTGGAACTGCTGCTGCGCCCGGCCCGGCCGCCAGCTCGGACCCAGCCCAGGGAGAGGGGACACAGGGGGCACAGGGGGAAAAGCCAGAGGTGAGCGAGGAAGCAGAGCAGGGCAAGAGCTTAAAAAGAGGCTCACACATAACAATCTATGTAGCCAAACCCCCATATAAAATAGAAAAATGCATTTACAAATATATATATGTACATGTAACTATACAGAGCTATAAATGCAACTGTGCACACCTATAACAACACATCTAAAGCTTAACCATAAACATATAAAACGAAAAATAATTTAACTGTACAGATCTCTATCTGTATAGATATATAAATATAGTTACATAAATCTAGAAATACAACTACCTAGATAAATAAACATAACTGTATACATCTATAAATATAACTAGAGACAGAGGAATTCAACTTGCCCGATGTTCCAGGCTCTCCCTCTGTCTCTTCCTGCCACACTGGGCAGCTCTCCTGGAGAGGTCGATCACATGGGATCTGGGAAGCAAAGGGAACACTGAGTCAATATTGGCCCTTGTGCACGTGTTCCTTGAGCACCAATTGTCCTTCTAGCAGGCACTGTCAAAGATGGCCTGAAAGGCAAACTCTCACTTGGCAATTTGAAGCCTGCTCTTAAAAGAACAGGGATCCTTCCAAGGGTTCAAAACTGAACTGTGTAAAGTATTTAAGTATCCAGATAAAGCCTCAGCAAAGTCTTGAGCTTGAAACACAGACAGTCTCAGTGACAGAGAGACCTCAGTCCCCACTGAAATGGCTGAAGCTGAAGGCTGCTGGGAGCTGAGTTATGAACCAAACTGGGACACTCAGCTTGGTGACACAACTCCCACAAGGTCAGCTTTATTCCCTGCTCCCTTGCCACAGCAGAGGA